AGAAGATCTTAAAGTCGATTGATCTCGAATTAACTTCACTGTTTGATACGTAAAAAACAAGCACCGAGTCGAGTGTCTTCACTGGGTTCCTATCGTCAATTAGGAAATGAAGAAATCAGGCGGGCGCAGATATACTTTGGTGCTAGTTACATGAGTTTTAAAGTTAGGCTTTGGCACAATATTGCTGAAACCAACTGCAGTTTTCACAAGGGAATGGGACATATAATTTTAGATGCTATTATGTCAAACATTATTGTGGTTTTTCCTATTTTTGCCCTACGGTATAACATTTCACTCGCTCCCGCGAGATGGCCGTCATCCCTGAAAAGTCGCATGTAAACAATGACTTACAGGCGAACTGAAGTTGGACGTGTTTGATATCCCTCAAATGCCAATGACTTGAAATTAACTTCAAGGCTATAAGCCAAAATGAACGCTCATTTTCTGATCTCCTGAAGATGCTCTGCCACCAAAACTCACTCGCTAACGACTTCCGCCAGCTAGACAAGCTAGTACGACAGAAGCTTCGTGGTTTGCAAAATATCGCAGAAATTCAATGAAGACGGATAAAAAACAAATATTTTTTTGCAACTTTAAATAAAAATTACTTATGTTCAAAGTTAAACATTGATAAGATGCTAAATACTCTAAATTCAGAATAATTTATAGTAAAAGATCATCAATTATTAATATAGCTGTGTCAACCATGTTGGGCACTTGCTAAGTTACATGTATGAAATCAGACTTAACAGTTTATATTATAATGTTCACTTGATACAATGATAATACTGGTGTGATGTTTTGAAGTGTAAGTGCTTGATAGTCAGTATAGACTTCCCGACAAATGACTATAAGCATCTCTAAGTTTCAGCATAGGAAGCATGGAACTCACACCCCCTAGGACGAGATCAAAGCGTCTGTATCACTCTGTCTGTAATTCCCTGAAACATGGAGGTGTTGATAGGAGATAATTCTGTCGTCGTATCACAGGGGTCAGCGGTATTCCGCATGGGCCGTATTGTGTGTGTAAAACGAACATCGCTGCATGTCGGGTGAGA